AGGGTTTAGGGTGTACTGTAGGGTTATGGTAATATAAGGAGTGGAGTTATAGAGTAATGGAGTCACGGATGGAACAGAAAACAGACATGAAGTCGAAACTAGAAAATACAGGAGCTGTATAGCAATTACGTAGCAACATTCTTCCCATAATGGAGAACCAAATGAAAAACGAAATGGAAAATGACATGGAAACTACTGCAGAAAGAGCCACAGTTTAGAGTCTACACTTGGACAGTGCCACAGAGCGGCCTGCTGCGGTGTGGCCAGTCGGTGGTACCACTCGCCAGTTTCCACGCAGAAACTGTAAGCTGGTAGCAATCGCCAGCCATGTGATGCAATCCACTCCTTACTGAACCCAATTGGGCAGTAACCATGCACTCCTCTTGCTGCACATCAAGGTATTTACTTCTAATCAGGGCTCATGTCCAATTTTGACCAAGGAACCACCGTGCTGGCAAGGAGTTCTATGTCTTCGTCGGACATGGTGTAATGCACCCCAAGTCGGACGAAGCCTACATCCAGATCCCATCAACGATGCAAGCCCAGAGCTACGATGCCCTGAGCCCTCGCCTGGTCTAAGCACTTCCTGGGCGGATCGAAGCAAGGCCTCCATGCAGCAGGGGCTGCAAGCTTCTGAGAATGCTGCAAACAGCCCGCCTCGTCAAAGGTTCTCGCCAGATCTGCATCGATTCCCAAAAGCTTCTGGGCATAAGGCCCTGCACACGCACAGCCACCTCGCGCCTGCAAAACACGCGGAAAGCTTAAGACTTAAAAATGTGTGCACGGTGCCCTGATGTGCTTTGCAGAGCACATCCCTAGAATTCTAGAATACATCGCTGCCTACCTGGATACCAAAGAGGTCGTTCAGCCTGAGCTCCAGTCCCCAAATATCCCACACTCACTTGCAAATTGAGCTCGGACATTTGGAGCCGGGTGGCAAAGCCACCACGTAGTTGTAGTGCAAGTAGAGGCCACCGCGGGCTTTGTTCCCGTATCGAATCATGAAGGAAACGATCGCCGCCCGAGACTGGCCAGCCTCTGGTGAGCCGCCCAGCACTTCGATGCCTCGTGGAAGAGTTGGGCAAAGTCTCTTCCCAGCAACGCAAAAACAAACAGTTCAGCCCAGTCACGTGGCTGTGCTGCCCATCTGTCCAGCAACAGGCGGAGGCCTCGGTCCTCGACCTCAGCGCAATGTAGCTACAGAATCGGTAATCTCCCGGGCACACAGCATCTGAGTACATCTGAGATTATCTGTGCATCGAAGTTGGGCCTGGCCTCTATGATCTGCTCGGGGAGCATGGTATGGAGGTGATACACCAAGCCTGTAGCAGAAGCCGTACTCAGGCAACACACAGCCTAGCCGGAAGGAAGTCTGGCCTGCGCGTATGCAACCCACAATATCGGGCGTGCCAGCTTCTTCCCGATCTTCAGCATTTTGTATGTACGAGTGGCCTATGGTATGCGAACAACAGACCTACACCCCGCATGTTGGCAAACTCGCAGAGAGCCGTCCTTGTGGGTCCACAAAGAAGACGACTCCACCGCCCGGGACTGCCGGCACCGCGTTTCGCAGAAGCCTCGCACGTTGACCACCAAGTCCATGACTTCCAGCAGCGGCGTCACAAATGCAGCGACAGTCCGCCGAGGCCTCTTCTTCACTTGGAGCAAACCCACTGAGGCCGGGCCGCCCAGAAGCTTATGCCTTGCGAGGCCAGGGGATTGGGCTTCGGACCAGCCGTGCCGGGTTCGGAAGATCTTCCGTTTTCCCAAGCCCTGAGACCCTCCAAGTGCTGCTAAGGCAACGGAGAGAAGAAGGCGACATCAACAGAAGCATCCGGCCTTGGCTGCCAGGAGCATTTTCTGCAGGAAGCATGCCATTTTCAAAGCTGGCTACCACTGCCCTGCTGGCCCACTCAGCTAAGCTGCCAGGTGGGTGGGTTCAAGTCTGGCCGCAGGTGGCCGGCAGTGGCTGCATAGTCCCAGCAGGCGATCGCACCTGTACACGAATCCTCTAGAGGCGAAGTGCGCCTGAAGACTGTTAGGATAGAACGTCACCGCCCGAAAGGTAAGGCCAAGGCCATGTTGATGGATTCGGCTGGTGAGTCGCGGCACGTCTGCCAGCAGCCCGGTGACATTTGAAGCTGCGGACAGAACACACACAGCGGCAGCCCCTTTCCTTAGCCAACAGGTACAGTATCAAGAGGCCACGAAGCAAGCAAGAGTCAACCCAGCAAGTATGCTTCCATCGCACTCACACTGCGCAGCAAGGACAAGTCTGCTTCCACATCCGAAGCACCAGCACGTCATGTCTGAAGCCCCTTCAAGCCTGCCAAGATTCGTCTCCTGCACTTTTCCCAGGCGCTCGAACAACTCCTGAGCACAACACATCAGAAGTGATGCTTCTGGACCCCAAGTCCTTCTGCCTTCTCGTCTAGGAGCCCAGTCCGGCTGTCCAAGGGTAGGGTACAGACCTTCCCATCATCTGTCCCACTGCTGCAAAGAATAAAGTGATTCAGCTATGCTAGGAGCCTCTAGCTCCACGTTGCTGTCCGACGCTTTGCCCTTGTTCCAAATGGAGTCGGCAAACAAAGGCTCGGTGCTGACGTGCACATAACCTTAACACAAATTGTCTGGGCAAGGGACAACAGTAAAAGCACGGAGATGCCAAGACACTATATACAGTAAATTCCATGTTCCGGTATCTTTCCCGTTTGATTATCCATTGCTCCGGTACTACAATCCTAGGAGTAGCAATTGCATCTGGTGTTCCATTTGGTTCTCTGTGTCTACAGGGTGTGGAGGTATAGTTGAAACTCAAAACGGGAAATGACATGGAAGTGCAATGGAAACTTCTGTTTGTGTCTAGGGGGTGTAACCCTGATAGTGTAAAATCGAATAGAAACTGAAATGGAGACTGGGGTTA